TATACACACACACACACATACACACACACACACACACACACACACACACACACACACACACACACACACACAAAACACTCTCTCTCACACACAAAAAAATATAGATATATATATATATATATATATATATATATATATATATATATATATATATATATATAAATAAAACTGACTTGAAACTTTTTTGGGTGAAAAGTAGTGTCTTAAGTTTCTCTGCATGTTTGAGTGCATCTTTCTTTGTGTGTGTGTGTATGTGTATACCTGTCTGTATGTGCAGATGATGATCTCTCGGAGGTGATAATGCAGCGGGGTCATCGTCTCACTGACCGAGTCCAGAGCTGCGTCCACTTCTCTCTTCATACGCTGACCATCAGGAAGAAGACGAACCAGCTTCATCACCACCTACACACACACACACATTTCAATTCAAGTGTACTTGTAAAGTGTACTTTTCACAATACCACAGAAATTATCGCTCCAAAGTAGCTTGTCAAAACGTGCACATCATTACATACTGTATATTGCAGGCATTGTTGTCAAAATCAGAAAAGCTTAGGCACAAACACACATATACAAAAATACACACACAACACACAAAAACACACCTTTAACATTCATAACAGTTCCATGAGCACAAGTTTAATTTGATGGAGAAGTATTTGTCTGTAATTAAGCTTCAAACTAAAAATGTATGAACTTGATGCTTAATACTCAGAAGAACAGTATAAACACCACACAATTTAAACACAATAACAATATTGTTAACATTTTTGTTTAAATGTAATATTTATAGATCTTTATATTAATAATGCATCAAATACTGATACAAATAATAACATTGAAAATATTTACATTAAAATTATTTATTTTTATTATCTCATTTTATTATAAAGCAATTCACATTATTATTATTAATAGTAGTAATAGTTCAAAAAGTGAATACATTATTAATAATTGAACTTCTTACTAATTTTTACTATTAACTAATTTAAACTAATTAATAATCTAATTTGCTTTTAAGAAAAATTAGGCAAATTGAACATAACTAATGCTTTCAAATATTATTATTATTATTATTATTTTGCATATTATAATGTATATATTATTAGTAGGCTCAGACACACTCTCCTAATTAAAAACTAGATTAAAGAACTATGTATGTATATATATATATATATATATATATATATATATATATATATATATATATATATATACATATATACATATATACATATATACATATACATATACACACACACATACATATACATACATATACATATATATATATATATATATATATATATATACATATATACATATATACATATACATACGTACGCACGTATATATATGTATGCATGTATGTATGTATGTATGTATGTATGTATGATTGTATGTATGTATATATGATGTCATGCCGCACACACTGCTGTTTCATGAAAGAAGTCTACCTTTGTGCCATCACACAACTATAGATGTGATAAAAAATAATGAGAATATACTGTATATGCATGCATATATAATGAAGTCCTTAGTGGGAGGTATCGTCCAATTCAGAGTCTGTAACCGCATGATCTGGCTCGATTTTCGATCACATGACCTAATTATTATGCACAATGTAACCCTCTGAAACCATCTGCAGCAACAACAAAATTGTATAATAATGATAACTGTATATAATTACAATGAACGATATAAAAGAAAAGTTGTTTGTGACACAGTAAGTGAAAGGTCATCTGACAGTGTGTTGACTGGGTCAGAATGATTCAGGACAGGTCACGGCTGAACACACACACACACACACACACACACACACACACACACACACACACACACACACACACACACACACACACACACACATGCGTCATAGACTGAATGTGGGTCAGTATTGCTGAATAATGAATATCAACACTGAGGTCACGGCCTGATTCTGGACTGCACTCATTACACACTACATGTATGATCTCTCACACACACACACACACACACACACACTCACTAATACACTAGCTGATCTTAGCCAACACAAGGTCAGAGCTTACACAGGGTATATACAGGAATCAGAGAGAGAAATTCAATACCTGTTAAGATCTTTTTTTAAAAGGTGACCTAGGCTAAAGAATATGTAAATATATAAAGAATATCTAGGTATATCTTGGCATAGTAGAATAATAAGAGATCAGTATATTGAAACAGCCATAGTGTAAGCCTTAAAAACTAATGTTTTTTTAAAGTAAATTCTGCATGTGTAAAACTCAAAAGGTGGACAAAAGGCCCATCAGAACACAAAGCAGACTGTTGCGTGATTTACAAGCCACACCCTCAAAATTTGCATATACTCTAGGTCACATCAAAGATTATAAAACAGAGACTTGTGCAAGACGTATGATTATTATACGAGTTTTGATTATTTTCCCCATGTATATTTCAGAGTACATCATGCTGTGTGTGTCTGTTTGTGAGCTCATTAATATTCATGAGCATTCCAAATATGGTCAATTATGGAGCTGCTGAGTGTAGAGGTATTTTATGGAGTAATAAATAAGCATATAAAACCATTTCTGGATTTTTTTAATCATTCAACAACCCAAGCCATATACTTACTACATAGATATCAAAAAACAAATGAACTTAGTGAATAAATGTAATATATGGCACCTTTAGGGCTCTCTCTATACATTAAGACCTCATCACCACTTTACATTTCAACTGGTAACATTGTCCACATTTTAACTTACAGTATATTTAGGTATCTATTGGAAAAAAGGACAACTAAAGTCTAAAGACGCTTTTTTTACCTGATTACCTACATAATTACACCAGATTAAAAAAAATTTAATTTATGTGGGGATTTACCAAACCCTCTGACCTTTAATGTATTAATGAGAATGTTTGATAAGCTTTTATATATTATTATATTATATATTTGACGCTTTGTTACTTGTATAATACTTATTAACTATTAATTATACATAAAAACAAACCTAAAAAAATGAAAGGAGACATGGGTTACAATATATTAAAGATCAAAACTGAAAAGTGCATCACCTCAAACTCGCCCTTTGTGTATTTGGCATCAGGAACGCTTACGATTTCATCCTCACAGAACTCTGGAAAACCCTGTCAAACAGAAAAAGATCTTGAATATAGTGATGTACAACTGTACCAGGAGTAGTAGTATATTGGGGATTTATGGATCACAGTTGATCTGTAAACCTTACCTGAATGCATGTGAAAAACAAAAAATTAAAATAAAATGTTTTTCTTCTTCAAAATCTGAAAAACTGGTTGATTTCCAAGGTTAAATAGATAATAAAATAAAATAACATTAAACATTTTATATAAATACAAAATAAATGAAAAATAGCTTGATAAAAATGTATACAAAAGACTTTAAAAAATACATTAAAAGTAAAAATAATTAAAAACAAATAACTTAAATTAAATAATTAAATAAAATGAAAGCAAATAAAATGAAAAGTAATAAAATTAAATCAATTGTAAAATAAATAAAAAACAAAATATAAATAAATTAAAAATAAATAAATAAATATAAAATGAATATAAACAACTGTAAAAAATAAAAATTTTAAATATATTAATATAATTAATAAACAGTCATACAAAATAAATTAAAAAACAAGTAAAAATTAAACACAAACTAAATTCAATAATAAATTAAAATGAATTGTAAAATAAATGGAAAAATAAATTTAAATAAATTTAAAATAAATAAAAATTATAAAATAAATTTCATAAATAAAAAATTAAAAAATGATTATAAAATATTTATAAAATAAATAATTAAATAAATAAAAATTTAAATAAATGAAAAAATACAAATAGAAAATAAATAGAAAAGTAAATATTAAAAATTATAAAATTGATGAAAAAATATTAAAAATTAAAAAATAATTTAAATGCAAATAAATCAAATAAAACAATTAAATGAAATAAATAGCAAAATAAGTGACAAAAATATTTAAAATAAAATTTATGAAAAATAAACACAAAAACTGTATACTTATAAAATAATTATAAAACAAATAAAAAATAGATATAAAATAAAATAAAATAAAAACACAAAATAAAAATATATTGATATAAATAATGAACAGTCATATAAAATAAAATAAAAATATTTAAATTAAAAATTAAACAAATACATTTAAGTCAATAATCAATTAAAATGAATTGTAAAATAAATGAAAATTAATATGAAATATAAAAACTAATTATAAAATAAATAAATAAAAATAGTTAAATAAATGAAAAAATAAATATAAAAATAAATGAAAAATAATTATAAAAAATATAAAATTAATGAAAAAAATTACTTAAAATGTACAAAATAAAATAAATAAAAAAAACGTAAAAAACTTTAAAAATTAAAAAAAAAAATAGTTGTAAAAAAAATTATTTTTTTTAAAATTACAAATAGTAAAATCTTCACGATGTTGATATGTATTTTGTGAGTGTGTGTAGCAGACGTACGTTGAAGTGCCAGAGTGTGAGCGTTGCGATCACCATAGCTGTGGTGGTCCGAGCTTTACCATTGGAGCAGTTAAAGACGAAAGCAGACAGAGAATCTTCAGCCAGAGTCGCTTTCATCACATCCAGCAGCTGATCGAAACCCTGAACACACACACACACACACACACACACACACACACACACACACACACACACACACACACACACACACACAACATTACAAATGAGACAAATAAAAGCGATGAAGCAGACAGATGAAGCTGAATACTTCATTCTGATTGGCTGATGATCACTCTAAAGTGTTTTGTTATTGTCAGATAATCACACAGATAAAGTAGTTCCGGCAGGTTGAGCGCATTACAGCTCCATATCATACAGCCAATCACAGCATCTAAATGACGATTATGTGTGTGTGTTTACAGTGTGCTGCACCTCTTCAGATGGAGCAGAGCATTCTGGGAAGGGGATGCGCCTGTATTGCAGTGCATGGTGGGAGCTCTTGAGCTGGTTGAAGATCTCCTGCACGGTGGAGCAGCTCTTGATCATCTTCATCTGTTTCTCCTGCTCCAGAGTCACTTCCAGCCACTGCTGACTGGCTAACAGCTGCGCTTTCAGAGACGCTTCCAGACTCTACTCACACACACATGTATGCACACACACACAAACACACACACAATTAAAATTACTGTCATGTTATGAAGCATACTATATATATAGAGAGTAAGTGAGAGTAAATGCAATCAGCAATGTGTGTTTGTGTGTGTGTGACCTGGATGTCCTCTGGCTGTGCTGAACACACACGTATGCACTGCTCCACACGCGTGGGCTCTCGGGGACTGAAGATCTGATTATTGGCCTCCAGCAGCAGCTCGTCCTGCAGATTCACCCACAGCACAGACGAGTGTTTGCGCTTCTCATCACACAGATACGCCAGAACCACTGACGCCGCCTGGTGGACAATACACACACACAAAAACAGACACACACAGACACACAAACAGACACACACACAAACACACACAAGAAATAATGATGCAAAAAATAAAATAACATATGCAAAAAAATAAAATAAAATAAAACAAAATAAAACATTATTAAAAATAAGCAGCAAAATAAAATACAGATAAAAGAATACATTTATTATAATAAATATAATATATAATTAGATTTTATACATTTTAATTTGTGCATTTTTCTACATTTCTATAAATAAACTAAATACTAAAACCAATTTTACATAAAATACACACAGATAAACTTATAAATAAATAAAATAGGTAGAACAATGACATTAAAAAGGCTGTTATAATTAGTTTTAAGATTTAATAAAGTTTAGTTTAATATTCTACTTAAATTTTAATATTAAACTTAAGTAAATTAAACCTCAAAATATATATATAATACACAAAAGTAAAATAGAATAAATTAAATATTAAAACTTTTAATGCATTTAAAATGCACAAAAATAAAATCAATTTAAATGTCAATAAATAAATAAATAAATAAAATAAAAAAGTTGCATTAAAATAAAATACAGAAAATAATCTATAAAAATAGAATAAATAAAACACAAAATTAAAGCAACAAAGTAAAATAACATAGAATAAAATAAAGATATAGAATAAAATCAAAACTCGTCAGAGACGATTAGTGAAGCAGCACCTCTGATGTGGGCTGTGCCATCCCGTATATTGACATTTTGGGCACTCGTCTGAAATTGGCCACTTTCATCTCCTTAATGGTGCTCAAAACATCAGGAGCCAAATATTCATCTGCGACCTAGAAATAAAGGACACGCTTTCAGAAATAATCCATCATCTCCGCTAACTTGCTTGCAGAGAAATGTCATGTCATGTTAAATCTTTTTAAAATGCGTACTCTTTTACAGTCTGTAAAGGTAGCTAAATGAATGAATATTTAATCTTTAATTAAATATAGTTTCTAAATGTGCCATTAAATACAACAACATCTAAATAAATTAAATGAAAAAGAAGAGGTGTATTACAATTAGTCTACACTCAAAGAAATATAGATTTTTTACTTGTTCAAAAAACTAATTTAAAATGAGCTGAAACTACACAATTCTTGAGGTTTCGTTAGGACAACTTATTCATTTTATGTTCAATCAACATATATTTGTTAAAAGTGTTACAATCGATTTGTGTTGGGACAACATTAATGAATTGTGTGGAACCCTGCATTTTTTACAGTGCACTTTGTGTGCTTGAAGGTCTGTTTTGAATTCTAAAACCAAAAAAATTTGAACATTTTAATCTTGATAACTGAGGTGGAACAAACAGAATTTTCTGACATTAAAACCAGCCAATTGTTTTGTAAAAATAAAATAGTAAATAAGCAATAATTGAACGAATAATTTGATTTGTTTTGCGTATTTGTAAATTAAAAGCATTAAACTCCATTCCTGTTTTAAAACAATAAAAATATTTATATACATTATTTACATACATAAAATATAATGCAAATAATACATTCATTCATTCATTTTCTTATCGGCTTAGTCCCTTTATTAATCCGGGGTCACCACAGTGGAATGAACCGCCAACTTATGCAGCACGTTTTTACGCAGCGGATTACCTTCCAGCTGCAACCCATCTCTGGGAAACATCCACACACACTAATTAACACACAGACTCATACACTACGGACAATTTAGCCTACCCAATTCACCTGTACCGCATGTGTTTGGACTGTGGGGGAAACCAGAGCACCCGGAGGAAACCCACGCGAACGCAGGGAGAACATGCAAACTCCTCACAGACACGTGAACTGAGCCGAGGCTCGAACCAGCGACCTTCTTGCTATGAGGCGACAGCACTACCTACTGCGCCACTACATCGCCTATAATACAGTCATATGTATATAATAATTTTAAATAGATTTATTTATTTCTGTGTTTATTTATTTAGAATAGTGACTGAATTTAATGGTTTTAAAAAACTATTTCTTTTTTACTTTTAAAAATTACTTCAACCAAATGTAGCATGCAGTGCTATTGTAACACTATTATTGAATATTATTATGTTAGTTTACTTGTGTTTATATATAATACTTTTAAGTCTATTAAGTTACTGAGTTTACTCATGTATTATTAGTGCAATTTTGCATTATTTTATTTTTATTTAGCAAAATAAAGTCAACATTAGTCAGTAAACATGCTATGAAATAGAAAATTGTTCAAAATAAATAAATAAAACTGTATATAAATAAATATTTATTTTATTTTGAAACAGTGACAGAATTGATGGTTCAAAAAATACTTATTTTATTTATTCATATTTTTATAAAATATTTATTTATTTTATTTATTAAATTAATTATTTAAATTAGTTTTAACAAATTCCGTCCCTATTTTAAATAAACAAATAAATAAACAAACAAACGAAATTACTGAAATTATGAACAAAGTCTAAAGATAAGTTATTGCTGTATTGTTTAATATTATTATATTTGTTTACTTACATATTTATACATATCAATGTTTTGTTTTTCTTTGATAGAGTATAGAGTTTTTTTGAGTTTATGTATTATTATGATCATCATCATTTTGTATTATTGTATAGGGGCGGCGCAATGGTGCAGTGGGTAGCGCTGTTACCTCACAGCAAGAAGGTCACTGGTTTGAATGTCAGCTGAGTCAGTGTTTCTGATTGGAGTTTGCATGTTCTCCCCGAGTTGAAGTGGGTTTCCTACGGGTGCTCCAGTTTCCCCCACAGTCCAAACACATGCGCTACAGCAGGGGTCACCAACATGGGCCTGTTCTAAAAATAGCTCACCATAGCACCACATATGAGTAAGCTGCATCTAATATTTTTATAGGTATTCTTTTTAAATCACACTTGCATTGGTGTAAATTTGAAAATTACTTTGTTATATATTAAAAAAAAACTTTAAAAACTATTTCAGAAAATTGAAGTGTTGCATATTGATATTTATCTAACTTAAGTCATTGTTGAAAACTACAGTGAGAAATCATTAACATGGTCAGTGTCTTCACATAGATTAATAATAATAATAGATTAATAATAACATATAATTAAAAGTAAATTAAGAAAATGTGTTATTTAATAACTTGTAGCCCTACACACTAATCGGTACCCAAGAAGTAGCTCTCAGTTTCCAAAAGGTTGGTGACCCCTGTGCTACAGTATAGGTGAACTGGGTAAGCTAAATTGTCTGTGGTGTATGTGTGAGAATGGGAGTGTGTGGTTGTTTCCCAGTTATGGGTTGTAGCCGGAAGGTCATCCGCTGCATATAACATGTGCTGGAATAGTTGATGATTCGTTCCGGTGGTTCGGTGTATTTTTATTTATTTGGAGACGTTGTATGTAAACATGTTTGACAATGTTTTGACAGTCTTTAAAATAAAAAACAAATGTTGTTCAAAATAAATAAATACTGTATATAAAGAAATAAAGAAATACAGTCACAGTATTTAATGGCTTAAACCTTAACTTTAAAACTATTCTAACTAAATCTGGCATCAAAATAACATCACACAAGTATAACAACGGACAGAAAACAGCACTCCACTATAGTACGGCTGTTTTTGTGTGTCTGAAGGTCTGTTTTGGAAAAAAATGCCACGTAAGACGTTTGATTTCCTCAATTCAGCGCTGCAGAATCTGTCCAAGGCCACTGCAGAGAAACATCTGATGATGTCACACTTTCCTTAGAGACTGTCGCTAAGCAAAGAAAGTTCTCAAACCCCCATTAATGTCAACAGAGAATCTCAGAACACTATGAAGACAGCAGCATTTACAGCAGATTTTCCATGCTGATCAGAGACGGTTTAAAATGAATCAGTCAGATCAGATGAAGGCAAATCAAAACATGTATATTTTGATATTCATAACTTGAATTCTGGCCTATTAGGAGGACTAATCACTTTTATAAGTGGTTTAAACCCAGTTGTGTGTCAGCAGTGTGTGAATATATCCAGCCTCTAAAGGTCAACATGAATTAACAGTTATTGTTATAATCAGACTTGATGAATGAAACACTTTGATTGACACTCTCCCTTTGTACGTGTCATCAGAGGGGGAAAGCCCCACCTACTAGTGACCATCTCTCCTTTGTTAGCATAAACAGCCCTGAGTGAGAAGCAGCCATCCCGCAACAAACAGAATTAAGAATTTAACGGCAAAGTACTAATAATTCAACATTATTATCAATATTTAGCTTTTTCATTTACTAAATATTTTATTATTATTAAATTAATAATTAGCACTTATACGCAAATTTATTATCAACATTCAGTTTCTCTTTTGCTGAAATATATAAACAAATTATATACTTGGTTTGTAGCCATTACGGCAATTTAAAGATATTGATTTGTATTAATAATATATTAAGTATATTAAATCGTACTATAATTGTATTATAGTATTAATAATAATAATAATAATAATAATAATTTATTTTTGTTGTTATTAATATTATTATTGCTAGTATAAAATATCAAAAAATAAATACATTTAAAAATTAAATAAAAGAAATAAAAAAATTAAATAAAATAAAATAAGTTACTAAATAATAAATTTAATTTAATTTAAATAAAATTAATAAAAAATATTAAAAAGTAAATAAATAAATATATTTTAAAAAATTATAATTTAATTAAAAATGTTGAGTGTATGGGTGTTTCCCAGCGTTTTGTTGCAGCTGGAAGAGCATCTGCTGCGTAAAAAATTTACTTGATAAGTTGGCGGTTCATTCCACTGTGGCGACCCCAGATTAATAAAGGGAATAGGCGGGAAGGAGAATAATTGAATGAATAGAATAAACATATATATAAATCAAATGAAATCCAAGATGAATGAATTGCAGTTACTCACCAGAACTCGAGCTCCTTTAGTGACGAGGTCAGCTGGTGCTCTGAGCTCTGATTGGTTCATGCAGGAAAGTAGGCGGTAGATCCAGGCATTAGAGCACAACCATTGGCTGAAACTACACGCAAACGCCAGCGGATACTACAACAGAGATTAATGACATGAGAAACACCAGCTGACAGGTGAATATTGATATCTGAATCCACTGGAAACACACTCTACCTGCTCATGCAGGTAAGCATTGAAGACGATCAGGTAGAAATATCTCTCCAGACTCTGTAGAGCTCCATGGAGGAAGTAATCTTTAGTGCTGCTTCCCTGAAAACACACAACACACACAACACACACAACACACACACACACACACACACACACACACACACACACACACACACACACACACACACACACACACACACACACACACACACACACACACACACACACACACACACACACACACACACACACACACACACACACACACACACACACACACACACGCATCTTAAATGATTTTGAAAGAGGTCTTTTCTGGTCACCAAGATTTAATTAAATACACAAATACAGTTTAATTGTGGAGTATTTTATGAGATTAAAATAAAAAATAAGTAAAAATGCTAAACATTTATGCACATTGTTGCAGATGTGAGATGTTGTTGTGCTGATTGTAAAAGGCCTCAGTCCTCCGTCAGTCCATCATCACAGTGCTTCAGTATTATTACTCTATTATTATTCCCTCCAGAACTGTCTTGAGCATCTGTCTGCGCTCCCGTCTCACGCCTCCAGAAGCCTCCACATTTACTGTGTTCATAGCGTTTCGTCTTGGTCTTCTGAGGCGCAGCTCATTTATTAGAGGAGAACAAACAACACAGTGGACAATCCCAACTAGGGCTGCAACAACGAATCAATTAAATCGATTACTAAAAGCACTGGCAAAGAATTTCAGAATCGATTTGTTGTGTTGCGTGACATTTGGACGTTTGATTATTAAAAAGCACTTTAGTTCAGTGAGGAGCAGAGTGAACACGGTCTCTCTCCAAACTGATACTGATACAGAGTTCATTGCCTCATAGACAGAGATGAGGAGGGGGAGAGCTCAACAGCAGGGTCCTACTTTTGTTCCATTTTTAATGTGATGAGCAGAGCAGAGCTCTCAGTAAGGGACGGTCTGAAAAGGGCTAACCCCGCTGAGAAAGACGTGTCATATTATAACAATTATGCAGCTTTTTAACCGCCTAATGTAAATACACACACGTACTAGTGAAACAAAATATTTAGAGTTTGTAAAACACACAAGGAAGTCTAACAATCCATTCAAATATAATTTGCAGTGTTTTACTCATATCAGACACACGTTACACATAGTGAAAGTAACTATAAAGTTGAATCTACTCTTCTCTAAGTTCACCAGCCTAACTTGCATGTATTTGGGGAATAACTGGTGAATTTACGTGCTGAATCCTGCGTCTTCTGCTTTTATGAATGAGGCAAACGTGCGGCCGCAAGTAAACAAGGCAACAACCATCTCACGTTATAGATCACGATCACTTACACGTTTCTGTGAACTGGTAAAACTTGCGTTTGAGCAAATAATCACCAATTTTTTCCCAGAAAACAAAACATAATTTTTTATGCTATTTCATGTGTTTAGCACGTTTTTTTATTTAGATTTGGACTGAAAACAGGACAAAATAACTTAGTTTTTAATTTTATTATTATTATTATTATTATGTTTTATAATTATTATTATTATTTTTTTTACTTATTATTTTTTATTATTATTATTATTATTATTATTATTAATGTATTATTATTATTCATTATTATTATCGTAATTATTATCAATTATTATTATTATTATCATGCATAATAAAGATAATTATTATTAATATTATTATTATTGTTACTATTTATTATTATAACTATTATTATTATTATTATTACTACTATTATTATTATTATTATTACTTATTATTATCATTATTACTATAATCATTACAATAATAATAATAATAATAATAATTATTATTATTATTATGTATAATAATAATTATTGTTGTTGTTATTATTACTATTTATTATTTATTTATTATTATTATTCTTAATATTCATATTATTATTATTATTATTTATTATTATTATTGTTATTATTATTTATTATTATTAATATTATTATTATATTATTATTATCTATTTTTATCATTATTATGTTGTATTATTATTATTGTTGTTATTTATATTATTCATTATATTTACTATTATTATTTATTACTAATATTATTATTAATATAACCATTATTATTATAACACCTCAGGAATGAGCTTTTTTTAATAAACGGTTGGAAATTATTGCATTTGTTTTTATCTGATTCATCGATTAATCAAAAATAAAATCAACAGATTAATCGATTATTAAAATAATCGTTAGATGCAGCCCTAATCCCAACAGTGCAGCAAACTACACTCCTCTCAGTGACATCTGTGCATGTTCAGCAGGAGCTGATTATTTTCTTACATTTACATTTAGTCATTTAGCAGACGCTTTTATCCAAAGTGACTTACAAATGAGGACAAAGAAGCAATTTACACAACTATAAGAGCAACAATGAAGAAGTGCTGTAGGCAAGTTTCAGGTGTGTAAAGTCTAAGAAGGAAAGTATTAGTAAATTTTTATTTTTTTTTGAGTACAGTTAGTGTGATATCCAGAGAGGCAATTGCAGATTAGGAAGTGAAGTGGAGACTAAATAGTTGAGTGTTTAGTGGTTTCTTGAAGACAGCGAGTGACTCTGCTGTTCTGGTGCAGTTAGGGAGTTCATTCCACCAACTGGCCAGATTGAATGCGAGAGTTCGGGAAAGTGATTTCTTTCCTCTTTGGGATAGAACCACGAGGCGACGTTCATTCACAGAACGCAAGTTCTTCTCTTGTTTGTCTCAGATTGGAAACGCTGCTTTATTCACTAATGTTTTGCATGATAGTACAGTTTGTGCATAAATCTGATTCACTTTGAGCTAGTTCTCACCTGTGTCTGATAGTCTTCTCCGATGCCCTCCAGCTTCTGCTTGTTCTCGTAGATGGACTCTCGGATATCGTGCATCTCAGAGCACAAATCAATGGCACGATTCACCTGAAACACAGATAATTACAACAAAACAGCCTTTCTCACCTGTACATCTTCACATTCATTCTTACATTCACACCAGTAGATCTCTACTTCACATCTTATACTTTTGCATTTTTTGGTCATGGTTCTTTTTGAAATAGGGCATATGCAGGAATCAGACAGTGAAAAATCAATGCATTTAAGACTTTTTGCAACACTCTTTCCCTACATTTTAAGACCTCATTGCCACTTTAGGTTTTATTGCCAAAATTTGTACTTGCACCCAAAATAGGGCTTAATTTGCATCATGCATCTTATTATAAGAAAAAGGGGCGGGGCATAACAACACCTGTTTATTGAAGATTATTTTGAACATCAAAGGAAAACACAAACCTCCTCCATGACCTCTTGACCTTTAGGCAGTTTACCGATGAGGCTCTCGATGACCCGGAACTGTATCTTGTGTTCGTCTTTCACTTCTTCTTCAGCTCTGTCAATAAACACACGCTTCTCTCATTTTAAACCCTTTTGCAGCTGTATTATAATTCATAACATATTACATATAATATTCATTCATTCATTTTCCTTACATATCATCCATTTTCATCTATTTAGTCTAATAAACAACAGTGCTTTAAAATCCACAGTAAATATAATCCCTCAAAATATTTCCTGATTAAAACGTTCTCTAACATTATTTAAAAACATACATTTTATCGAAATACAGTGGGAAAATTAAGGATTAAACATCAGCATTTTTCTCAGAAAGCACATTTCTAAAGGCGCTGTTGACTTGAAACTTTCACCAGATGTTGGTAACAACCAAAGAAATCCATATAGGCAATGAAAACAAATCTAATTAGCTTACAAATGAGGTTATGTGTAATAAAATGAAATGAAAAAGTATTGAACACACGAAGAAAGGGAGGTGTAGTTTGGCAGTGAAAGCCCAGACAGCAGCTGAAATCTCTCAGTAGTTCTTCAGCAAGCCTCTGCCCATCCTCAGGCCCCGTTTACACTAGTGCGTTTTAGTTTTAAAACGGCGTTTTAGATCAAAAAAGATCCACATCCACACTACCGTTTCACCTAGCGTTTCAGAACATATCTCTGTCCACACTACGCCACCAAAAACGTATATCACGTGACCATTGGCGCACTCTGGGCATGTGCGTTCTAGTATAAACAGGAAGCATGTGTCTCGCTCGGCATTTGGTTATTGTTAGTCAACAAACGCCGGTTGTACAATGAACGCGATGGCAAAGAAAGCAAGAGAGGTATTTTTGTGGACAGACAACGAGGTCGAGTTGCTACTAAACGTAACAAATGAATAACTGCACAATGGCGCCTAAAACAGACAATAGTGCAAACAACGCTCCCATTTCTGTGCCCATGTTGTTGTTTTCAGTACTGTCTTCCGGTAGCGTTAAAGCCATGTGTTATAGTCATGTGATAGAGTCTTGATGAATAAGGGAAGGATACGCAATGACACAAAAGCCCCAATCAGCTAGCGAATCTCAGCAGCCCCGCCTCCGTTTTCAGATGTCTCCGTTTCCCTCATCCACACTGAGACGGAGCAGCAGCGTTTTAGTATGAAAACGGCCTCTCCAGCGTTTTCAAAACGCTCCGTTTTCGGCGCTCGAGAACTCCGGCATAGTGTGGACGGATGGCGTAAAGCAAAACTTATGCGTCTTAAAACGAAAACGCATTAGTGTAAACGGGGCCTCAGTGTGAATGAAGATCAGCTGCTTCAGTCCAACATCTGCATTAGATGAAGATGAACCCAGGGTGGACATTTCAGCAGGACAATGATCCAAAACAGCCAAGGAGACTCTCAGATGCTTTCAGAGAAGGAAAATCAAGCTGTAGAATGGCCCAGCCAATCCCCTGATCCGAATCCAATAGAGAATACAGAATACATTTATATTTAGTCATTTAGCAGACGCTTTTATCCAAATGAGGACAAGCAAGCAATTTACACAACTATAAGAGCAACAATGAATAAGTGCTGTAGGCAAGTTTCAGGTGTGTAAAGTCTAAGAAGGAAAGCATTAGTATTTTTTTATTTTATTTTTTTGTAGTTAGTGGTGGAGCCAGAGAGGCAATTGCAGATTAGGAAGGGAAGTGGAGACTAAATAGTTGAGTTTTTAGTGGTTTCTTGAAGACAGCGAGTGACTCTGCCGTTCTGATGCAGTTAGGGAGTTCATTCCACCAACTGGGCAGATTGAGCGCGAGAGTTCGGGAAAGTGATTTCTTCCCTCTTTGGAATGGAACCACGAGGCGACGTAAAGCTCAGATTTGATAGACGAGACCCACAGAACCATCAAGAACTTGACACTCTGTTGAAGTCTGTGAGAAACTCACACCTGAGCACTGCATGAGACTTTAATCTCCATATGAGAGGCGTCTTTAAAGGGTCACGAAACACCAGAACACATGTGTTGAGCTGTTGACAGTGGTATATGTGTCCCACACTGCTAAAAACACTATTAGGACACCTATATTTCACTAAAAAGTGTAAATTGGTTGTTTTTGCGTTATTTCAAGCAAATTCGTACTTCCTGTTTGAAACGAATTTTTGAAGCTGCGTCACGGTCATGACATAATAGCGTGTATTCCAGCGTGCAGACTGGACGTCTGTGCCAGAGTGTGTCTTATTACGTCTTACAGTGTGATGCATTAATGCATGAGTAAGGCTTGGTTCAAACCAATCATCGCGCTCTATTGTGCAACTACATTAATATTCATTAGTGTCACCGTGTTTACGCCACAAAGACGCCACGTTGTGTTGGCAAAACAAGCGTGAAGTGTTGCTTTTATAGTTTGCTGCCGTTAAGTTTCGTTTTCATTTTCTCTCTGTAAGAGCTCAGTCTCACGTGTGGATTAACAGTGTACGCGACGCTCACCACAACAATAACTTACGTGTCTAAAGAGGATTATTGTTTACCTGAGAGCTGTTCTCATTTGCAAACGCTGAAATCTGAATTCGCTTGTAGTATTCTCTCCATAAAGACGCGGCTCTAGTTGCTGGTGATTGTCCTGTCTCTACAGATTTGGTAAGTGAGCGACCAGTGCTCTTTGTTTATTCAGTTTGTTTGTATCGAATTAAGTTAACTATTGCACTGAGTGCAGAAATGTTAGCACCGCATTTTGTGACCGGAATAACACACGCGGCTTTCTGATGCTACCTGCCGTGTGCATCTAAGTTTCCAGGAAATGCGGAGTTTTTTTCTCTCTCATTCGCCGTGCGGTATCAAACATTGCATGAAAAATACACGCTTGCAGCAGTTCCTTGAATCAAATATCTTGTTTGTCGCGAGAGGCATGAATGAATTCCCTGAATGAAAGAGCCAAACTGCAGTTAAAGTCCACCATTTAATAATTTGGCAAATAATTCGACTACAGATGTCCATGTAAACAGTCACATTGTCCGCTGTGTGTGTGTGTATTTTGACTCTGAAACTCGCGCGTGCACAAATAGACACTCCCACACCATCCCACTTTAGTTCCTCCGACACTCCCCCCTAAACAGAGCTGGACACGCCCACTTTTCTGACTTTTTCCAAAGTAGAGGAGTGAAAACACCCTGCTGAAACGAGGGGCTTTCATGGCCCTTTAAGCTGCAGGCACCCAAACAGCCTTTAATATATAAAGTATTCATTACATTTCAGCAGTTCAGCTCTTTCTCCTTCTGTCATTTCATTATTATTACACACATCTCACTTTCCAGATGTGTTTTGTTTTATTTTTATGTTTGTAATGTTTGGGTTTATCAAAATCTGCTTCAATTTCATGTCAACAGCTCCTTTAGAAATATTATTCCCAGGAAAAAAACCTGACGATGTGTTCAATACTTCCTTCCCCCGCTGTATATTTTATCATCAAAATACTCTTACAATAGTCACAAGTAGGTTTCTCTTCCCCTTTATTAAATACGAGTTCTACATCTACATCTCATTTGTACTACATGGTCATTTCTGTTATGCTCATGCAATTTGTTGCATCCCATTTCTGATTATTGTACAGGTTGATAGCAGGTTTATATAAGGGGACATGATGGTGTGTGGTGGTCTTACGGTGTGGTTTTCTCCGCTGTGGTCCGCGTCAGGTGCATCATGACCAGCGTTCCCAGAATTAAACCCAGATTCGTGCGTCCGACGCCGACCTGACAGCTGAACAGCAGAGCGGGAAGCAGACGAGATGCATCGCGATTCAAAGACAGAGACGGATTCTCCTGAAACAAACACGCAGACGGAGAGATTCAGTGGAGGAACTCATGCACACATACTGGAATATACAAATCGGAAGGTTTTAATGAGTAATCTGGAGAGGCTTTTATGTATAAGTATAGAAATAAAATGCAAAAAATAATAAAATACACCCTCTGCCAATCAATAAATACATATTAAAAAGAAATACACACACCCACTCATTCAAAACAAATGCTTTCAGTGATATAAAATAACTGTCAGCAGAAATTACATTTATGCATAATAATGTTTGGGTGAATCACTGAAATGTTTACTAATGTTTGACTTGTTTCAAATCTAAATCATTGGTTGTCCTGTTTATTATAGATCTAATATACAATTCTCCTTATGACTTTCCTTTATATATTCCTTTACTCCAAACACTGTAGAAAAAAAATGCTATGAAAGAGGCACATTTAACTGGACATGTTTTCAGCCCAGGGGAACAAACAACCTTGGAGCAGGACAGGAAGTAGATTCTTTCTTTTCCTAAGCTGCTTCCTGCGGAGCAGCTAAAACAACAGTTCAAACACTATAGTAATGTATAATAAACAATACAGTTAGTGTTTTTGACCAATACAAAGTGTATTATAGCGTACTATATTTACAGTTGAAGTCAGAATTATTCACCCCCCTGTATATTTTATTCCCAAAATTTCTGTTTAATGTAGAGCAGATTTCTTCAACACATTTCTAATCGTAATAGTGTTAATAACTCATCTCTAATAACTGATTTATTTTCTCTTTGTCATGATGACAGTAAATAATATTAGACTAGATATTCTTCAAGACACTAGTATTCAGCTTTTGGCACCCGTTTCCACTGAGCGGTACGGTACGGTATGGTTCAGTTTGGTATGCTTTTATGGCCGTTTCCACTGTCAAAAGTCGTGCCGTACCACTTTTTTGGCACCCTTTCTTTTTTTATTTATTTATTTTGATAATTTTAGGGGCTTTTCACCTTTATTATGACAGGACAGTAGAGAATTAGGACAGGAAAGCATTGGGAACAGAGAGAAGCAAAGAACCTCAAGCTGGGATTCGAACTCAGGTCGCCATGACCACGTTGGTGCTATATGTCAGCGCACAGTACCACTAGGCAACTGGCGCCGACTTTTTCAGCACACTTTCGAAAGGGTACCAAAAGGTGGAGCTAGACGCGCAGCTGAACGCTATTGGTTTACAAAGATACGTCATTCGCTTACACAACAAGCCAGAGGGAAAACAAAATACCCGCCATGCTTAAAATACACAGCCGGGAGATTACTGTGTAATTATATATACATAAACTGAAAAAAATGTTGCATGCAGAACTGTTGCAAACAATTTATTTGTGTTGATTAAACAAACAAATTAAATTTAATATTGTTCAACTTAATTTGTTTGTTTAAATTCAGCCCAAATAAATTGTTTACAACCACTTAACGTATTTAAAACGTAATTTTTTTCAGTGTATAATAATGAGCCATGGTCGACCCGAGCTCAAACAAACCCTGTGGTCGTCTTGATGAACAGCCACAATGGCAAAAAGAAGAGCAGATTTACCCTGTGCCGCTTAGTTTATTATGAGCCAGTCTGAAGCACGAGCGGTTTCGCTTTCTTGCTTGTGCTCGCCACGTGTCTATATCTGAAATAACAAACTTCTTGAGCTGATGAAA